AGTGTATTTCCGCGATAGCATCCTATCGCGAGTTAATATCGTTATTTGTGATATTAAAATGATGAAATACGATTATTTCACGCTTTAAAAAATAGATGGATAGCGATAACATAAACAGAAAAGAAAGAAAAGAGATAAACGCTGCTCTTATAATTTTTCCTGAAAATCTAATTAATTTTCTCGCGGTCAGTTGTAATTTTATAATTATTATTATAATAAAGGATTTAATAATTAAAAAAAACTCTTCTTCTTCTTATTTTGTTACTAGTCTTGGATTAAAATCGACTTTTTTGTTCTTTATTATACTCTGATAACCGCATATTCCTATCATTAGAATAAGTTTACATATTTGACAAGGTAAACTCTCTCTCATAAAATAAATTATTCTAGTAAATAGAAGCCGTTGGATCGGACCGACAATAAATTATACAGAATTATTATGCAACACATGTCTGATAATCAAATGATATTTAGCTGTTCGTTACTTGTAACGTAACGATACGAGCACGATCTGATATGCTAAAGTATCCTAGTGTAAAGTTCTATTAGATGAACCATACGTGGATATAGGTATATAGTAAGTAGATATACCACCGCCTCTTTGCTATTCGCTTGTGCTAACTTATGACATCGATTACTGTCGTGTTATATCCAAATCGATACAGCATCATTAAGTTAGCGATAGACGTATAAACAAGAATCGCAGCTAACGTTAAGGTTCAATGGGAAAACGTTCTTTGAGAAGACGGCGTCTTTATGTCGGTGCATATGTTTGTATCTTTCTATTCCTCTTTCTCTTTCTTTCTCAGGACCATCCGGATAAGAAACTAACGAGAGAGCCTGAGGCTATTTTTTACTCTTACCTAAGAAGAAGAGATGCCAAAGACGACGAAGATGCGTATCTTTAGATACCTTGCATCATCGTCGATAAGACCCAACCCGAACCACTCCTCTCTTTGAATAAACTTTCGAGTCGAAGGAAGGAAGAAGTAGACGTTCCTTAATTTTCTCATGTTTCTCTATTTGACGCGCTGACCGTCAAGAAAATTATGCACATAAATGGTTATTTCTATATTTATTTATATATATATTTATGTATTTCGTGATTTTAAGTATAAGATACATTTTACGTAATATATTTGTTCTCAATACAAAAATTGAATTACTCTTATCATAGATAATTGCTATATTATACGCGAACGTCATTGATCAAATGTATTATAATAAATAGTTTCGTATTACAAGATGAAATGAAGAAGACGTATCATGATTAGAAAGAGTCATTTAAATCGGAAGGCTACTGCAGCGATTCGCATCGAAGACGTATCCGGGCTCGTCTAAAGGCTTCGTTGGAAGATGATTCAGCAAGAGAGACACACAGAGACGATAGTAACTCGGTGTAAAATCGCTGACAGTGGTGCTGACCTATGCTCTCGAAGGCCGTAGTAACCGAATACCTGTCTAACAGCCGGTTCATTCATGCTTATTATCCCGACACTTAATTTTAGTCTCGCTTCGAAGTCGCGTGATTCCTGTCCCCGGTTCTTAAGTACGACAGTCACGACGCGTCCGGAGAACCAAAGAAGAAAGAGAGGAAGAAGAGCAAAAAACGATAAAGAAGAAAAAGAAGAGACAAGAGAAGATGGGAAGGAAGAGTAGTAGGAAGAATGAGGAGGAAAAGGAGAAGGAGGAGATGGAGGAGACGGAAGAGAAGAGGAGAAAGAAAGATATAACGACAGGTTGTCTTTTCCGTTCTTTGCCCGTGTCTACGACGAGGAAGTAAGTATGTGTGCACGGACGAGCTGGTCCGAGAGACTACCTCTTAGGCTATCTACATGACGGATGAGAAGTCTGTGCGCATTAAGATCACAACTCTGAGCGGTGCGGCGTCTCGTAACGGTGGATGCTCGACGAGTATGACACGCTTCTTCTTCATCGTTACCGGCTGCTAATCGACGAAAGAACAAGTTTCATATACATTCATACAGTCTTCTTATTTTTCATTAATAGAAATTGATATCAATATCCGGAGTGCACGTGTGTGTCAAGTAACTTTTCATATTACCAACATTAGATATAATCTAATGTTATTCTTATTTATATATATTTGTTAACGTATCAGGTAATAATATATAAAGATGATAGTTTCTGAGCCAAAAAACAATCGTGCCTTTTGGATTATTTTTCCGATTCTTTCGTATTCCTATGAAGAGGAAAGAAGCTCGGCGGTAAATACGTTTGGCCAAGGTCTGGAGCCGTTAAGTTTCTTCTCTCTTTGCCCGGTTTTCTCTTCGTCCAAACATGTCTCGATGTGAGTGTTGACCCCGTGGTTACCGGGAAACCATCGAGAGTTGAGAGCGGGACGATGTCGCACTCAACGCTCTATCTATGGCCACCGGCGAGCATCTCCCGACCGTTGACTTTTTAGAATCGCTAAGAATTCGCCTCCAGAATCCAGCTTGGGAAAGTTGAGTTTCCTTGTATATTCGCCATTTTGTCATACCGACTTAGGGAGTAGAGGGAAAGAAAGAGGCTAATGTTACTCACGCGAGGAACGCGTCTCTTCTGTCATCTGGGAATACACACCACTAGCTTGAAACTTTTCTTGCTATATATCTCTTTAAATCCCATTGCAGTAAGCGAGTTGCACCTACTCCTTTTGCTTGTTTACTTTTACTCGAGTGACTAGAGGACGGTTAGAGAAAATTCTTATTTATAAGTATGTACGTAACGCTAATATATACACAATTAAAGGTCAAGTTAATATGAATGCACCGATGGTGTGGTATCTGCGTGCCAGTAAGGAGAAAGAATAAGACAATATGAGAAGAGTAAAAAAAAGGGGAGAAGAGGAGGTTCGGTAATTTAATGGTTAAAGGAACGTTAGGTGGCTCGACGAACGATGGAAAGCTCTTCACGCGTAAACGATTTTGCGCAACTTTCCTGCGGCCGGCATTCGCGTAACCACCAACGTTAATAAGGTGTTAGAGCTTGGTCTGGCGCATAATCGTGGAACGGAGAGCATAGTAGGATACTACGACGTTGCAACAAAGCGACGGTGACAGGTACAGACGAGCCATATCCGGGACGTTGGCCAATAAAATTAATCGCTTTTGCTACGTCGTCTGAATAATTTATGCTCGCTGCCGTGTCTAGGAATTGTCCGATCATCACAGTCGCCACCACCATGACCATTATTCGAGTCTGCTCGCGATAGCCTTGGAACAACAATCTTATGGTAACATAGTCGTTGTTTCTTCTGACAACGTCCTTCGATCACTTCAAGCTTCTGACAATTTGTCATGGTGATCGAGACTACTCAAGTATTAAAACAGTAACGACATTGTCTCTTTCTTTTCAAACGGTTTTGCACTCTTTGAAGAGACATTGTCGTTATTGTTAACAACAAGTTTTTTCCTATCGATTTGACATGAACGATGTCTTCTCAATTTCCAATAGCCTATTTAACCATGATCTTTGGAAAATTTTACATTTAAAACGAAACGGTAGCTATTAGAAACCAGATCAGCAGTTAACATTCATGAGTGAACATTCAGTTGGTAACTCATAAATCACTTAGGAACGACAAGTAATTAAAACTAACCAAGGCTATTAATATATAAATAAAGTAACAAGATATCCCTCCGCCAAGTAATAAGACGTGAGAAGCAAAATGTGAACCAGTTTTTCGACTAGCTAATGGAAACCAGTGCAAACATTGGGGAAAAAAGGTATTGTAGAAAAATAAAAAGACATCTTGTCGATCAAATGATGAGTCTTAGAGCTTCATGGAACAACCCATGCACTCGGGGGTATATTTAAAACGCGGGTCATTAATTGGATTTTTGTCTATCTCTTCGACTAAGCTGTCTGAAAGGAAACCTTTGAATTTTCACGGTCACTCTCAAGGAATTTAAGATAAGTTTCGAATTTTATTCTATCGAAATCGAACGAAATAGAAACAAAGAGAAAAGGAGAGAGAAAGAGAGGAAGAGAAAAAAAATAAAAGAGTTAAAAGGCCGTAGAAAAAAGGGTAAGGAACCAAAAATACGGGGAACCTCTTAGAGGTCCCTATAACCTCTTATCAGTTATCTAATTAGCTGTTGCATTTAATTAGCGAGCCGAGGAGAGGGCCGGCCCTGGCACCGTTTGAGATGCTATTGCTGCACTACCGTAGCTTTTACATGTAGTGGTGATGTTGGTGGTGATTAAATGGCTACCACACATTCGTAGTCGTACGTAATTTTAATCGACGTCCATGTAAGATAAGAAAGGTCGACGAATGAACCAACAGCGAACCGGCCATGCAATTAGCCGTCTTTTTATTTATTTCGCTATCGACCTCTTTTACTGTGCGCCGCTTGTATAAAGTTGTAAGCGTTGGAGAACGTTGGCGAACGCTGATGGAGAAACGAGAGGACTCTCTTTTAAACACAAGGACTCTCTTGATCGGCCAATTAGAAATCCTGTTTACACGCATCAACGAATAAGTTTCGGTTCATTATGTCTTTTGAAGTGAAACACTAATGCATTTACTCGTGGTTATCATCGGGTGCTATGTTATCAGGATGATCGTTTGATTACTACAAGACAAAAAAGAAGCCGACGTCGAGAAGAATTTTAACATGAAACAAATACAAAACATAGTTGATCGACGTATGAGTCCGTGTGTTATTTCTATTCCAATCGTAGAAGGTACCTGTCGAAGATTAGATTCGTCTGGCCAATGCTACATGGATGGTACATTTTCTTCAGACAAACGTCATTATTATTCCTGACGTCGTTTGATTTTGTAATGCTCATAGCTGGACGATGGAATACACAAGGGAGAAATACACTAAACGTATATACATATATACATACTTATACACAGACATAGACTAGATAGGTGGACAACGTTTTACACAAGGAGAAACGATTTCACTTGAGAAAGCTCATTCGAGCGTAAAAAGAAAATGTTTACATAACGGTAGGTCGAAGCTGACGTTATAACCACTCACCTTCCCAGGATCTTCGATGAAAGAGCCAATGGTTATCGTGTGTAGAGTGACCTCACGAACATCCTCAAGATCTTCGAAAGGAGCATATAGGCACTCGCTGAGAAAATAAGATTCGCTGCACGTGAGCCTGTAACAAATGAGAATTGTGAGCAGATTAGACGTTAAGAACTGAACCAGCGATCCTTATATTTCTACCATCGTATATATCCGCCACCCTCTTCTCTTATCAATATCAAGTATGTTCTTTCATAATTATGCTATTCAAGATGACGCGAAGTAAAAGCGAATTTTTATGATAGGTACCGTAAATCTTTCTTTCTTTCTATCTTTCTCTTTGACTCGAACTATTAAACGCAGCTAATGCATTGCGACTAACCGTGCGATAATCTTTAAAGAAGATTCTCTTATTCTTTCGGATATTTATCTATTCGACATAGAAGAGGATATCGCGTTAAGATAATAATATTATATACATATATATCGATGTCAGGTGATTTATTCAATTCTTAGAAGATCGTAATGCGAGAGGATTCGAAGGGATACATTATCGAATTCACCTCTTTTTTCCCTTCTCGAGATATAAGGGAACTTGAGAGGGTTAATACGGGTCACATCATGATTGGCAATAAACCGAAAGGTTTTCTCTCCTTTCTCATTCTCTTTCTCTCTCTCTCTCTCTCTCTCTCTCTCTCTCTCTCTCTCTCTCTTTCTTCTCTATTTTTCTTTCTGTTTCGTTTCTCTCTTCAGTGATATGTGCGACGTCGACACGCTTGTCGCTTTTACGACGTCGATACTTGTCATCTCACATTTTTTTCTTGTCCCTTTTTTTTCCTGTCACTCACTTTGATGCCATCTATTTGCGTGCACTCGTACGATACGATACACAGTGTATCGTAGCGATCAAAGATCCAAGACCAAAAGGAACGATTCTCAGTGTTCATCGAATCGCTTTTCTTTATCAGTTATACGTCGAAATAGCGATGGTCGATAGATTATAAAAATAAATTTAAATTGAACGAAGACAAAAGGAAATGTTTTAATAATTGCAACAGGTAAATGAACATATTATTAAACTCATCAGTTACATCAATGTAACTACTATATAAGCTAAAAAATGGAGAAAAATGGAGTTGATGAATTTGGAACTATTACAAATTGTGTATTTCTATCGTATGAAAATTGCTCGATGATGAGGGATAGCAAGTGAGCAAGGAAAAAAGAATAAAATAAGAAATAAAAGAAGAAAAAAAGAAAGAACGGAGATATATTGTAGAATGTAAGTTAGGAGAAGGCGATAAAAATCGAGCAGCTCGAGCACGTAAAGCATTACACCACCGAAGTCGAAGTAACATCGCGTGGTCGAGCTACATCAATTTCGAGAGCGATTCCCAGTGCTGTCGGAAGAGTCTTGAAAATTTCGAATGCCCGCGTAATCGAGGAGCCTCCTCGTGAGAAGAAGGTAGAGAAAAGGGGGCGGAAGGGTACGTAGGAACATGCATCAGGGCCACCATGGCTTCCTCCTCCTCCTTCTTCTTGTTCACTCCACTCTCCATCTTCTGTTCCTCCTTTTCTTCATCTTCCGCGATAATGATACCTACACGCTCTCGCTCGGTAATAATATTAATGGCCTCGTGTACCGGAGGGCCCGTTTCTTGGGCCCCTAACAAAAAGGAGCAGAGAACGCCTTTTACGCGTAAGAGCATCTCGTAAGAAGAAGAAGAGAAATGATCGAGAAAAAGTAAAAAGAAGAAAGAGAAGATGCAGAAAAGTTGGGATTTCTCTTGAAAATCCTTCAAAGGAGTGTATAGTTTTTGGGATTCTTGAAAATTTGGTCAACTTCGATGACGTCACTTGGGATATGGAAATTTAAACGATTTATTATTAAATCGTTGACCGTATCTAAAAAGTGGCAAATCTGCTTTCTTGTCGAAGTAATCTGAAAACCTACAATTACCTTTATCTTCTTGTTTGAAAGAGCTGCCTCTCTTACGTGCCTCTTGAATAAGGAAATATGTATGCGATGTTAAGATAGTCTCCGCTATCGATGTAATAAATTGTTCTTCGAGCAACATAAGTAAAGAACTCTGTCGAGTGATCGGGTGAATGAATAAAGCTACATCATCGGGACGATGAATAAGATAAAGATAAAAAGAGAAGGATAACTCCGCCCCTTGCGCTTTCATATCGGCTATCGAACTTCGCGATCGAGCATTGCGGCCTTTTGAAAATTAAAATTCACTGATAACCTACCATCTTTACTTCTTGTAACTCATTCGATGTAGGTAATTAAGTTTGAGGTTTCCGATAGCTTGGCTACCATCGCGTGGAATACAATTATCACGTTTCCGAGTAATTAACGATCCATTCTGCAAATAAAATAATACCAAAGAGTTGGTTACTTTATGTGTTTTTTCTCATTATTAATTTGATGCTTCAATGATTTGTAGGAAATTATTCGTTCGTATGTTCGACGATATGTTCCTTCATTTTCTTTCGTATTATTAGAATTTTTAGTCGCGTAAATAAATCGATTAGCGATGCAGATCGAATCGATTCCTTCGGCTTTACATCGGTAGTGTTTGCGCGTGCGAGTAATATCGATCGAGAAAATATCCTACCTTCGACCGCCCACGTAACGAACGATTCCACCGTGAAACGGTCATTAATTACTACGTCGAGTTTCTATGAATCACTTTCATAGAACTTCCTCTCGTCTCGTTCGAGCTGCTTAGTGAATCGAAGAGAGATGTAAAAATCATCAAACGCCTACGATGTCTTCGAGAAGCAGAGTCGCTTTTGCGCCTTCGGGCCCCCTTCTTTTACGCTTCGCGAATTTTGAAAGTAATCGTCGAGAAACGCGATGGAAAAAGGATTACGCAATCTTTCGCACCGGCGGATAATAAAACGCCGGATGGATCAAATGGCGATCGTAAAAGCGAAAGGTTTCAAAATCTAATCGTGACGCCTTGCGTGCTAATGCGTTTATAGTGAATATACGATTATCATTTCGATCACTAATCAAACTTTATGATCCTAATATAATTTAAGCAATTTTTTATTACACATGCATATTTTTTTTTCTTCATTCTGGAATTGAAAAATACCATTCCTTGAGAAATAAAATACAAAGTTTTGTTCGTCAGTCGATTCGTGTTTGCAATATCTTTGCCAACTCGGTAGGAAAAGTGTATTTCTGAGACGTCTGACCGAGTCGTTTGTTCAATAATTATACAGTCTGGTCTTGGTGATAAAAATTTCGAAGGCTCTAACGTGCGCTTTTTCACGCGAGCTCCAAACACTTTACGAAGAAAATAGGTATCTGAGTTAAAGAAAGAAACGTTATTTTTATAATGTTCATCGCAGAAAAATAAAAGAAAGAAAGAAAAAGAGAGAGAGAGAGAGAGAGAGAGAGAGAGAGAGAGAGAGAAAGTAAAGAAAAAGAAAAAGGAATAAAAAGATCTTGTTGTTCAGTATGATGGCAAAGCGACGATTCGTATTAATCTTGACGATCAATTATTTAGCACCGTTTTCATTCTCAATAATTATCTTACATTTTTTTTTCGTCGACGTTACATGCATTTCGCTGACTAAGCGTTACGAATAAGAATTATCTTCGGTCTAACACATCGTTCTTTTGGTAATTTCTTTTTATTGTAATAACAACAATAATTATGTACGAGAACGGGAGAGAAAAAACTTACTTTTGGTAAAGAATTTTCGACTTCGTCGTAAACTTACGAAATAAACTTTCGATAGGTAACTCTATATTCGAGAGAAGTCGAGTTTCTGCAAAAAGCAACTCTCAGAAATCGAATTAATTCGCTTGAGTTAAAGGCTACGCACGTATAGTGGATATTTTTAATTAAAAGCTCTTTTACGGAAGACTCGTACTTTTTTTTCACATATACCTACGTAAATACGAATACACACTCAAGTCGCATACATATATTCTTACACATAGACGCGCGCTCGCGCACATATGATACACGTATGTCGATGGAATCGCGAAGAGGTAGGACGATCGTGGAGAGACTTCGTTAATCGCCACTTAATTACCACATCGATCGATTTAATCGGCTCGCACACGCTGCCAGCGTCGAAGGCAGCTGCGAATCGGTCGCCAAGTAAAATACACTTCCCTCTCACATCAGCTAATTATGAAATCCTTTCGCGTACACATCTTTATCGTTCGCCCACGAGAATCTTTCTTTCTCTTTCAGCTATAGTAAATATACATATACATGTACATATATATATACATATATACATATGAGTACATTGGAAGACTCTTCGTGTCGCTTCGAAGATCACGCAAACAAAATATTTCTTTTAACGTGAATGATTTTCGCCCTATTCTCGTTTATCTTCTTTCGTTTTTTTGTATTTTTCTTCTCTCTCTCTCTCTCTCTCTCTCTCTCTCTCTCTCTCTCTCTCTCTCTCTCTCTCTCTCTCTTCCTTTCTCTCTGTTTCTGCGTTCGTTTTGACGAGGGTGGTCTTCCGCAAAATTTATCCGATGCCGGACAGGCCATGCGTGCACCGGTAACCCGACGTTTAAAGCATTAGCAACATGCTCGTATATTCGTTCAGGTTGCGTTATGGAATCAATTTGCTAAATGGATAGGAAAGAAGATAGGGAGTGAGAGAGAGAGAGAGATAGGAAAAGAGAGATAGAAGTCGTGACGCGAGAAAACGACAGAAAAGGAAGGATAAGAGGTGGAATAGAACAGATGGACGGGCGGAGAGACAACGCGTGACCACTCCTTGATTTCACGCATGCGATGAGTCGCGTACTAGATGGAAAGTCTCGCTATGACACGCGACCACGTCGCGTGCTTCGAGTCTGATTCATACTCACCGTATAGTTCTGTAATCTTTTTAATTAGCGACATTTTAAAGGTGAGCCGTTCTTCTTTTATCTATGGATGACCTATCCGTGCTACATGTTTTTCAATTTTGCAAATTTCAAAAATGTTATTTCTCGATAATAAATATATTCAATATATATCAAATGCTTGATATATCTATATTTAGATTATAAATAGCATCAACGTATATCCGTAAATAGGTTTCTGCTTACTGTAAGTATCGAACAAACGGGAGATCTAAGTGAACCATCATTATCGTTGA